AACTGTTCATGAATGCAAATATTCTCAACAAGGGATTCATTTTATAAAAAAAAAAAAACTCAATGTTTACAGAATGAGGGCACAGTGATTCAAATGTAAGGGTGTTTCTTTAACTATGAAAAAAATTTAAAAAAATTTTTTTTTTAAAGTTCTTATTAAAAATGTGTTATATGAAGATCACATTAAAACTTTTTACTATGCTTTTATTATTATATTTTGCTATGTTTTAGATGCTTTTAGGTTTACATTTTATTTTTTACTCTTGATCCTGAGCCAGACCCAGAGATAACTGGAAAGGATGTGCCTCACTACACCCAAAGCCTTAACACTGTGAAAGTAAAAGTGATAAGGCAAGAATATACTTACAATCTCAGTCATCTCGGACAAAGAGCACATGACTAAAAGACTGGTTAATTTTTTGCAATGATAAAACTGACAAAGGTTCTTCTTGTATGTAAGATCAATTATCTAATCTCTTAATGGACACACATCCTCTTCCCCATATGCTGCAATAATGGAATGACTAAGACTAAGATGACTAATTTTTTGCAAACATGTCCTGACTACTGCCTACACGTGGGCCAGAAAATTCATTGTATGAATGGGGGAATACCTTGAAATGCATGTAGCGTTAGAAGATATGCAACTAAAAAGTGGGTTAGAGTTCGCATTTTGAATCACTTAGACAAATACCAACCAAGTTCCCCACTTTCTAGACCGTAACCAAGTACAGTTTCATTGTATTGCCTAAGCAAACACAGAGGGGATTCGCAGCATTAAATGAAAGGTAAGTGATGACATACTGCTCTTTCAGTATGAATTGAAAGATGCATTTCATCTGCTCAGTTTCCAGCTGTAGTTTTTCCACATATCAGTCACACACTCCTACACTGCACCTGTCAACAGAGTTCAGACAGTGACACACACACACAATAAACACAGGATAAATTCTTCTATCTGATAATGACCACAGAAGCCAAATGCTGCAACCGCAACAGCAGCCACAAGCACATGTACACCCACAGCATGTGCGCACATACAGCTCCTGTGAGCCAAAACTGAGATCTGTCTCTCTCCACTTCATGACCAGACACGACTCCCCATTCAAGAAATCGTCTGACCCTAAAGCTTCCTAAACAATAACTAAGGTTAAAGTATATGAGGGATCATTTTCAAACAAGCAACTTCACATAGCTCTGGAGGGAGTGTCATGGAGAATCCTTTACTAAGCAAAAAGCACATTTTTGTTTATTTAAAACATTTTTTTAAGTTTCTTTTTTCTTACTGAAGCTTAGCTTATTGACTTATATATAGAAATTATATATGTGACCTGGACCACAAAACCAATCATAAGCTGCACTGGTATATTTGTAGCAATAGCCAAAAATACATTGTATGGGTCAAAATGATCGATTTTTCTTTTATGCCAAAAATCATTAGGATATTAAGCAAAGATCATGTTCCATGAAGATATTTTGTAAATTTCCTACCATAAATATATCAAAACTTAATTTTTGATTTGTAATATGCATTGCTAGGAACTTCATTTGGACAAATTTAAAGGCAATTTTCTCAATATTTAGATTTTTTTGCACCCTCAGATCCAGATTTTAAA